CATTCTCAAAACATTTGCTCTCCACTTAAGCCCCTAGCATCAGGTCCTCATTTTTCCCCCTCCCTGTCCGCTCTCCCCTCCCTCATGAACCCTTGATAATTTATAAATTATTATTTTGTCATACCTTGATTGAAGATAGGCTTTTTCATACAGTTTTATTAAAAGAAACTAGGTCATACTAGATATTTGATTTTTTGATAGATACTTTAAATTTTATATTAATCTGTTTAATCCCCCCTCTCTATTACTACCAAATTCACTAATATCTAAGAGTTGGTTACTATTCACTAGTAATTATAAAGTAACAATAATAGAATTATGACTGAGCTAATGTTTATTATTTATGTGTGTCAGGTCAAGATCTTAGGACATTTAAGTGTAACATCATCTATGAAAAATACTATATTACCACTTTCACAGATGATAAAAGTGAAGCATAGGATAGTTCAGAAATTCATTTGATTTTGAAGTTTATATATTTGTCAGTGATAAATGATTGATGTCCAGGCAGCCTGAACCAAGAGTCCTATTCTTACTGTGCTTGTGGTGACCAGGAAGTCAGAAATCAAAGATAAAATTATTTTATCATATACTTTGTCTAAAATATATATCCATAACTAGTTTTATTATATATTTGTCAACAGTTCCCCGACCTGGCGATCAACCTTTATACAAAGCTAAGCTCAACATTCGAAATTACTCTATGTTAAATTGAATGTTCTCGTGAATTTATAACCTAGTAATGATCACAAGAATAGGTTTGATGAGTAGTTTAAGCTGTTGAGTAGAAAACTGATGATCTGAAATATAACCCCCTACCTGACTCAATAAAAATTATACATACATACATATATACATATATATGTACGTGTGTATATTTATTTATTTACAGTTAGTCTGGGTAGACTACAGAAACAAATTCATGGACATTCATATGTGTATAAGAAAGATCTTTATATAAAAGAGCACTTATATAGTGAGAATCATCCCAGCCCAGTCCAGGTCAAGTCCAAAAGTCCAATATTAGTCCATATGTCCAATACTAGTGCATAAATTCCTCCTTAGACTCATGCAGCCATGCAATAATGCAGGAAGATCACAGGCCAGTGGGTGGAAAGTCTCATAGATCCAGTAGCGGTGGAAGGATCTCGGGGCTGGCGTGGGTCTCCCCATAGCTCCTCCAGTTCCATGGCTCCGGCTCTATCAGTGTGTCTCCATGTGGCTTGTCAACAGGAATGTCTCACAAGGAGACAAGCAGAGAGCCTGTGCCTTCTGCCTCCAGGGAAGAAGAGAGGAGTTCCTGAATCCTCAGGAGAAGGCCAGGCCCATCCAGGGGCTTCATTGGCTGTGGCTTGATTGATTGAAAGGCTAGACTCTGCCCCTTCGCAAGTTGACAGGATTGTGTAACTGATACATACACACACACACACACACACACACACACACACGCACACACAATTGCAGATTGTATTTGCCTTTTAAGAAGAGACTAAGGAAGAGAAAGGGGCATTGACGCTTTCGTGGACAACCAACCTACACAGAACTATTTGGGTATTACTTAACCTGTTGTGTGGTTTAACAATAAAGAAACACTTTATCACAAGTCTATTTTTTCCTCCCTAGACTGTGAAAGCACTAAACCACTTAAAAGAAAACTTGAAAATCATCCACAGAGGTAGGTGTGGCTTTTCTTGTAGAGTGAAAATGAGAAGTATTGAAAATGGCAGTATCGTGCTAAAAGCTTTTTTTCTGGTAAAAATAACGTACCAAAATATCTAATTTGCTTCTTAAGTGTTTTTAATTTAAACATTGGATATTTGATTGAATGTTTTTCTTTAGAATCTATAGATTTCACCTTAACTTATTAACTAGTTGAACTTAGAAATTCAAGCAGACTTTGCAGGTTTTCATTACTCTTAGTTGAAAAATAATCATTTATTTGCCTGATAGATAATTAATGATCCGCCCAGGTATAAATATAGGAGAAAGATGAGCCTGTCTACTCTCTTCAAGATTTACCTCCATAAGCATTGATAGGTCACAGTGAGTTGGAATGGACTATCAGATGGCCCATTCTGTGGCTATTCAAAGAATGAGGGATAGTGGCCGGCAGCATTTGAAGGACATGTGACTCCCAGTCAGCTGTTTTTTCTCTACTTCAGAGCATGCTTCTACAGAATTGAGAGAGGTCCTTTCATTGGAGCTAGACCCCCACATTCCAAGAAGACATGTGTTATTTGGGAAACAGTGA